TCCTTTCTAATCCTACCAAATGTTCTTTCAGCCAGGTTCAGTGAGCTGGGAACTCTCTGTACTCCTTGTAGTGGGTTCTGGCTCAGCTAGTAGAATTGGGGCCACAAGGTAGATAGGAGGCATTTAATACAGAAATGCCAGGGCTGTTTCCTTGTTTAAGAAATGTGTRCCATGCGTGTCTTATTCCCATTGTATATCCTAGAAAGGACTGGGCACACAAAAAGCATCCTAAAAGTCTTTCTTGGATTGAATCCTATCTACATTTAACTGTCCCACCCTAGCCAAGAGGTCCTTCTTTGAGACTTTCCTCTGCCTCTTGGCTCTTACTTGGTCAGCAATAACTGTCTGGTGCTGGTACATTCCAGGGTTAAGCTGCCAACGACAGAACTGGCCTCTCCAGCCACGGGTGATAGTGCCTCCCCCGATGCCACCCAAGGGACAACCTAGAGAGAGAAACATAATGGTTAGTGGGGTAAGGGGAGAAGAAAACAGTGCCTTTCTTACTTTGTGGACTTTAAAAACCACTTCCTCTAAAAACCTAGGGAATGGGGCAGTGCAATTTGCATAAACTGGAAGCCTCTTTGCCTAACTCTATAGTGGACCTGAATGCTACAACCTTTCTGAGCAGGGCAGAAGTGGGGTGAGGCTCACCATAGATCTGCCTCAGGGGTACACAATTGAACATGTCGATAAAAGGTGTCTTCTTCTCTACCTGGGTCTTCCGGTACCACCACTTTAAGTACCTGAGGAGCAAGAGGTAGTGAGTACAGGGGTGGATAGGCAGTTCTTCACAGGCTACAATCACTTGCCTTTCAACATCCAGCAGTGACCTCCCATTAAATGTACCAAGGCATCATCACCTTGGCTTCCAAGCCTTTCCTTGTCTTGATTATTCTACAGTTCAAGGCCCCTTCATTTTCCCAGTTGCCCCAGCCATTAGTGTAGGATAGCCTTTGTTTCTCCTCTTTATTCTCTGCAAAAGGGGCTTTCTGATCTTTCCTTTCCTCTCCAATTTTACTACTATTGCTTTAGTTCAAACCTTAGGAGCTTTTGTGTGAGGTATTGAAAGGGTCAGTTATACTTCCCTGTCCACCCACTCTACCACCCACTCCCTACCTCCCAAACAGATACAGGCTGCCAAGATAACTTTCTTCTTTTAAAAATGATTATTTTTCTTTTTGATTATGAAAAATGAAAATCTGAAAATACACTAGAGAGAAAGAGAAAAATATCTCACCCAAAGAGAACCAATATTTTTGTATCCAGCCATTTCCTTGTAAGTCTTCCTTTTTAAGTTCAGCATTTAAACTATAAGCTTTCAGATTTTGCTCTTTTATAATATTCCAGTAAAGTTTTCTAAAAATTCCAACAATTTCCTGGTCTTGTTCCCACTTTATAGCCAATAGACAAATGACTAAGGCTATCTCCAATACGTAAATCATTCCATTTCAAGGCGAAGAAAGCCCCAGCCTGCCTTTAATCTTATTTCCTACAAATTCTTATTCAGGATGGATCTGCACTAAGCATGCCCTGCCCTGCCTGACTCTTTTCCACTTCTACTCTCTTCTCTGGCCCAATGATTTTATACCTGATGTCCAGTGACACCACTTCTAACCAAGTAATTAGGTAAGTATACCCTAAAGCCTGTTCCCTCCATCTATAAAATGGGCATACCTCCTGCCCTAGCTATCTCAGAGAGTAAATGAAATATCAAATGACATGACAGATAAGAAAGCCATAAAGTGGAATACCTGTGACAGGTATGCTTATTGTTATTTCAATGTTCTCCATGTGAGCCTGACAAATTTTTAAGTTTCTTGGGGAAAGGGATAGTGACAAAGACTAATTCAGTGTTACTCTCAGCTCTAAGTACAGGGCAGGGCACATGGTCTGAAATCCATAAATGGTTGCTTACAAATGAATGTACAAACAATGGGACACAATAGACTTGAGCTAGGGGAGGAGAAATGTGATTAAKGAACAGGGGGCAGTACATTATGGAGGCAGGGAGAACAGCTCTGAGGATGAAGGATGAGATGTGGGGAGGCATAGGTCTTCTTTGCTAGCTTAGAGGAAACTAGAGTTTGGCACTAGAGGCCAGAAGGGATTGGTGGAAGGAAGGCTGGTGCAGCTGTGATTAGGACAGCCATGGAAAAGAAATGAAAGATATGAAGATAAGCAGAACAAAGGACTATTTGGCATAGAACAATCACTTGATAAATATTTATTTCATGAATGGATTCTGGTTGAAGGGAGTCATCAAAATTGAGCTCCCACCAAGCCCAGGCCCAGAGAACTCCATCTTGCTGTAGCTCCTAATGAGAGTTCCTCCAGTTGGGCTCCCTCTTAGCTTTCGCATTCCCCTAATTTAGCGGCTGGCCTTCTCCATAATTTCTGCCCTAACTCAAAAATTATCATTCCAAATTTTTCTTTGTCTCACTCCTGCTTTCTTTTCAATGAAGACTATTCTCTCATTCTAGAAGTTCTGTGTTAATGGCTCCTATCCTATCCTGGGATGGAGAGCCAGGGTCCAGAGGACTGAGCAAAACTTCAGGTCTCTGATTCAGCTCATACTTAGGGATAAGGGGGGGGGGGCTAGAATGCCCAGATGTTTTTTACCTCACGGTCCCCAACACATGCAACCCACTGTTCTTGTCTCAGTACCCTAGATCCCATTTTGACCCAAAGGTTTTTAAGGTCAAATTTGGACTGGATCAGTTTCAGAAGCAGCCTGGAGGGATGATTCTTCTGTGGTACAGGACACTGCAGGCACTAACAGAGGAGTCAGATGTCTAGGCAGCACCAGGTCCTTCCCATAGTCCAGGATTGGGCTTAGGTAAGTGACCTCCCCCCCACAACCCTCAACACTGGAGAAGTGAAGGATCCCCTGTTTTAGAAGTTATCAGGACTCAGTTTCTCAACATATATACCTCCCTCCCCAGCTCTGTGTTTACTGTGTGGGACTGACTCAGGATGACCTCAGGGTGATGCTTTCTGGCCTCACATCCACCTGTTCCTGTTAACAAGTATGGTTTCTCATCATAGTCTTTGAACTCAGTGGGAACCCAGAGGGTTTCTACAGCCCAAATAAGCTCTGTGGGTGTCTGTAATCTTGAGGTAGGGGAGAAGCCAGGGCACCCTCTGGAAGACTATTACTAAGACCTCTGGGGACATCCATAGCAGCACCTCTCTAATCARAAGGCATCTTTGCGGAGCTAGGGGTGAAGTTCAGTGGCAGAGCACTTGCATGCAATCTACCACTGAGTTGTATCCCCAGCCTACTACTCCCCCCACCCCCACTTTTGACACAGGTTTCAGTATGTTGCCCAGGCTGGCTCTGAACTCCTGGGCTCAAGCAGTCCTCCTGCTTCCACCTCCCAAGTAGCTGGGATTACAAGTGCATACCAGTGTGCCCAGCTCCCTGTCTTTGCTTTTTATATAAGCTGTCTGATAATAATAGAGAATAGAGTGAAGTTCTCATTACCCTCTCCTTGGGGATGACAACAGGCAGGCTCTCACCTACTCACTGGAGCTAAACTTTGAGGAAAAGAAACCAGACCCAGACAAGTGTTGGAAGTATAATAATGTCTGCTTAAAGATGGTACAGAGAATGCTCCAGCTGCTCAGAGTAATCTGGGGTTGAAAACTTCCCCCTTCCAAATAAAACATTGTGTCAGTGCAACAGCAGTCCTGCCATTCTCTCCTACCTTGACACAAAGTCTAGCTAATCCCAAAGGGAAGTCTTTGGGAAAGAGGGAGTAAATGAGAGGGAACAGGACCAAAAGTTCCTACCTTTTCCTGCTAAAAAGACAAGGGAGGAAGGGGGTTGCAAAGAGATATGACTTGGTCTCACCCTCCAAAATCACAAGCCTAAGATATTCTGGAACAAGGGCCACTTGAATGGGATCAGGAGCTCATTTGCTTTTCCACCCTTTCCCACTTCTGATGGAAGTCTTGAAATGGAACAAAGTAAGGCATTCTAGTCAATAGGATCTACTCACCTCAAGCCCATGCCCAAATGCTTTACCAGGTTGCTTAGGGAGATGTTGTTAGCTTGAAAGGGTTTCCTCTTCTCTGCAAACTCGTGTGCCAGGCAGATGCGCCAGCCAAAAGGAGGCACCTGGTACCCCCTAGCTTTTCCCTCATAGGACGCCATCAGCTGCCCAGAGTCCTCCGGATTGCAGTAGCCTGGTTCATTTTGACGTCGACTGTCCTCAGGGTTCTCGAAACCTGTAACCTGCACAGACTCCGAGCTCCCAACAGCTTCTGGGCGATAGAGCTGGGARTCCCCTTTGGCGCTGCTAATCTGCTCCAAGGCTGGGACGCCGGTTTCCATGTTCCCTGGATCCTGGGTGCCCACAAYCTCTGACACAATGTATGGCCCCGGGTCCCGAGACCTCTGACACAAAGTATATCGCCAAGCCAAGTGCAGACGCGGGCGCCGGTAGTAGTTAGGTGCCGTCCGGGAGGGCTGGACGCTGGGGAAAACTGGGGTGAGCTGGTGGCTTCGTAGAAGCGGGGAGTTCTTGTTGCAGCGGTGGCGACGACAGCAATAATGCTGCCTCGGACTCCCTTTCGGTAGTGTCTCTAGGTCCTGGGCGSGAAGGGTCGGGCCTCGCCTTCATTGGGCCGTGGTGATTAGCTCGTCTGGCCAAAGGCCGACAGGGCCCGCGGAGAGGGGCGGAGCCGTGGCACCGGCCMGCAAGGCACCGCCCCGGGACCAGCCCGTACAGTCCCGCCCCCGGAGCCGGCCCGGGAGCTCACGGCGGCCTCGGCCCCGCCCCGGGGCCACGGCACCAGGCCCCCCAGGGTTGACCGCCGGGTCCGGCCCGCGGGGGTCCGGGACAGCGCCCGCGCCCAGGTGCCAGCCCGTGGGATGGTGACCCCGGGCGCCTGGAGGACCCGAGCTTCTTCCGGTCCGGACAGCCGGGTGCTTCCGGCCGGAAGGGGCTCCCTGAGCGGGGCGGGGGGGATCTGAAAGGAAGTCCCGCCTCTGCCGTGCCACCTACGCCGCGGACGCCGCCGCGTACCTGGTCGGGTCCCGGAGGGGCCCGGGCAGGTGAGGACCTTGGTGTCCTGAGACCCTGGTTTTGGACCGTGCGAGGTGACAGGCGGCGGTGGTCTTGGGCTGGGACGTGAAGTCTTGAGGGAAGTGGGGTGTGGAGGCCAGCCTGTGATGGGGGGACTAAGCCGGTGCTAAGGGGAGCCGGGGTCTGGGGACCAGAACGACGCCTTCCCCCTAGGCAGTACAGGGTCAGCAGCCCCGTGACCCTCCTGTCCTGCCAGCTACCCAAATCCTGGCATTTTCCTCTGGTACCGAGTGTTGACCACCAGTCCTCTGACACTTGTAAGAAAAACCCCATATATTGGTCTCTGGGACTCAGTTCTAGACATACCCCTAGGTTCAGGCTCCCTCCCTGTCATGTTACTGACCTCTGATCTCCCATGTTTCCTTCTAGATCTGAATCCAGAGCTGCCATGATTGAAGTGGTAGCTGAGTTGAGCCGAGGTCCTGTATTTCTGGCGGGGGAGGCACTGGAGTGTGTGGTAACCGTCACCAACCCCTTACCCCCTACAGCCACTTCTGCATCCAGGTGAGAATGCTCCTGCTGAAGGTGGTGGCCCTTCTGGGAGGAAGCTTGGTATCTCTGGTGCTATGCCAGAGATCAGGTTGTCCAGTAGCTATACCACCAACTTCTTGCTCATTGTGTTCTCATTGTAGGAAAGGGCTATTTAACAGAAGGGGTGGATGACATAGCCCTCCACTCTCCTCCTCCCTTCCCTAGCCCTCCCCATTTCCCTTTGTACTCACAGTATACTTTAATGTAATGGTTTCTCTTTGGGGGTTCCAAATTTCCTGGTCACTAGAATAGCCTTCTAACCTTGTTGGTCTCATCAGACAATGTGGTAGGGAGTTTGGGAAAGCATTGTGAGGTCAGGAATTACCCTCTGAAGTCTCCTTTTCCTCTTTCCACAGTGAGGCTCTGGCTTGGGCCAGTGCCCAGATCCACTGCCAGTTCCATGCCAGTGAGAGTCGAGTAGCACTGCCTCCCCCTGATTCTAGTCAGCCAGATGTCCAGCCTGACAGCCAGACTGTGTTTCTGCCACACCGAGGTTAGAGATGGGGCATTTGCCTGGGGTTCAGGGGGGCGTTGGAGTCATTGTCACCCAGTGTGATTTTAAGTTGTTCTCGTGTGTTACAGTCCGTGTCACACTGGGGATGTAGAGGAAGGTAGCTGGTGCTTTGTGGTGTAAGATTCTGTCCCATATCACAACAGGAAAAGAGGTGGCAGCCTTTCACTGCCTCCACTTGCTCTACTAGCCTTGTCTGACATTGGACAGTGGAGTCATTAAATTGCAGTCTTTCCTGACTTTTATAGGTGAGAGAGGTCAGTGTATCCTTTCTACTCCACCAAAAATTCTATTTTGTGACCTGAGGCTAGACCCTGGAGAGTCCAAATCATGTGAGTGACTGTCCCTAGCCCTGGATTGCCTTCTAAGTCTCCTGGAGGGAGGACTCCTCTGGCTGCCTCTAGCTGCCCTGACTACTGCTTCCCAACCAGACTCCTACAGTGAAGTGCTGCCCATTGAGGGACCACCCTCCTTTCGGGGTCAGTCGGTCAAGTACGTCTACAAACTGACTATTGGCTGCCAGCGTGTCAACTCACCCATCACTTTACTTAGGGTCCCTTTGAGGGTTCTTGTACTGACTGGTAAGTAAGGGTGCCTGGAGGGAAGGGCTGGAGTAGAGCATTGCCAAAGCAGAAATAATCTAAGAGGKCTTGCAAGCGGGGCTGCAGGGAAGCTTTCTTAGGGATGGTGCTAGGGAATTGGGGAAGGAGGGAGCGTTCTGGAGATTATGTCAAGATGTTGACCTCATCCAAGGCTTTCCTTACTTGCACTTCTCTCAGGTTGGAGTCTAAACTCAAATCTCTATTTTCATCTGTTCCCTCCTAGAATTACCTCTTCACTTTTTCTTTCTCTAGGCCTTCAAGATGTCCGGTTTCCCCAGGATGAGGCTGTAGCCCCATCTAGTCCATTCTTAGAGGAGGATGAGGGTGGCAAGAAGGACTCATGGCTTGCTGAGCTGGCTGGGGAGCGTCTCATGGCTGCCACATCCTGCCGTAGCCTCCGTGAGAATCCTTTCAGAATTGTTCCACCYCATTCCTCCTTGCAAATTATTCCCATATCAAAGACAGTCTCCTAACCACCACATGTTTTTGTGGATGATCTGATTATCTCACCCCGGATTATAAAGATAAGTCCCACCTGTTGGCCTCTGGAACACAGTGCTAGACATCCCCCAGTGTAGACTCCAGGCTTATAGTGTTTTGTTCTCCCCAGATCTGTACAATGTCAGTGATGGTCGAGGGAAAGTTGGGACATTTGGCATCTTCAAATCTGTGTACAGACTTGGCGAGGACGTGGTGGGAACCTTAAACTTAGGGGAAGGAACTGTAGCTTGTTTGCAGGTAAGAAGGGAGACTGGGGTGCTGGGCTTGAAGGGCTGTGGTAGAAGGAAGCCCTACAGAGAGAGGGGTGGTATGTAGAAGTGGACAGTGGGGTCACCCAGGGTGCCTTTGGTAAAACATTTTGAGATTGGGCTACTCTGTCATTTATGTCTGCATTTATAAATGCCTGCTTGCATGTAACTCTCTTCTTGCTCCTAGTTTTCAGTAAGCTTACAGACCGAGGAACGGGTACAGCCTGAATACCAGCGGCGCCGGGGGACAGGGGGTGCTCCCTCTGTGTCCCATGTGACTCATGCCCGGCACCAGGAGTCCTGCTTACATACTACCAGAACCAGCTTCTCTCTCCCCATCCCTCTCAGCTCTACCCCAGGCTTCTGCACTGCCATTGGTAAGACACTGACCAATATTGGAGAAGGGAGAATAAAATTCTGTGTTAGGTAGAGTGTAATGGGTCTTGATTGCTAAAACATTTCCCCATATACCTAAGTTCATCCTGTGACCCTTAATGTTTTCTCAGAGCTTTAACCTCTACCTCTGTTTTTGGATGCATAGAACCCTAAACTCTTCTTTGTAGAATTCCTTCCCCACTCCARCCTACTGGGCCTCTGTGATGCACTGATCTCTAATTCTTCAGAACATTTACTTCAATCTATGTAGTCCTGACTGTCCCACTCTTGGGTTATTAGGTAGTTGATACTGCTCTCCTTAACAGATTTCTTCAAAAAATGCCCTTGATTAGAACTCCTTGTGACTTTCCTTTTCCTGAATACAAATTTTGTTTTGTATTGTTTCTCATTCACTAACCACATCCTGCTGTTGGCTTTTACTCCTGCTGGCTTCTAATGCCTCTMTCTCTCTTTTTTCCCATAGTGTCCCTGAAGTGGCGACTGCATTTTGAATTTGTAACATCCCGAGAACCAGGATTGGTACTCTTGCCCCCTGTGGAACAACCTGAACCTGCTACCTGGACAGGTCCTGAGCAAGTGCCTGTAGACACCTTCAGCTGGGATCTTCCCATCAAGGTGCTGCCTACAAGCCCCACCCTGGCCTCATATGCTGCTCCAGGCCCCAGCACCAGCACCATAACCATCTGAAACTGGCCCATCTACCTACCATGACACTAACGTCTTCAAGATTCTGAGAACTTAGCATGTGGACTCTAGCTGGAATCYACTTTTTCCACCTAGGACCTAATAGCACAGACAATTGAGAGGCAGTCTGGGCTGGGAGTGTAGCTCAGTGGTAGAGCATTTGTCTAGCATGTGCAAGGCCCTGGGTTCAATCCCAGCATGTGGGGGGGGGGATATATATATAAAGAGAGAGAGAGAGAAAGAGGCAGGCTTTCAGCTATAGCATTAATTTATTTATTCAGAATAAATTGGCAGCTGCTAGTGGTTTCCCTGGAAGTGGCAACAGCAGTGAGCAGTCTGCAGACAGATGATCAGTTGAGTTTAGCCGGAGTGAGGAGCAGGAACCCCAGGAACAGGGRTGTTAGCTGAGCCCCACTCTAGGTCGGGTCCTCCCCCTTTGCAGGGCAGCCGAGGGTCTGATTTTTGCACCAGGGAGAACTGGCAGGTTCCTGCCTCTTGACGTACCTCACACTCAGCAGGGAAGTCGATGGGGTGCTGAGACCTAGGGAACCAAGGATGGGGAAAGAGCTCACAGTGAAAGCCCACCTTTATGGTACCCCCCATTCTTTCTCACTGCTGCTATCTTCCTATATCCTCTTCACCTACTATACAAGAACTTTTTGGCTATGTAGCAGGAGTATTTTCCTTCTAGATCTGCTTCCACCTCCCTGACTTTGTGGCTTGAAGCTTTATCTTTCTCATTCTTGTATGTACCTTCAGGTCTGGCCAGTCTCATACTGCCCTTCTATTCATTCTTACCTCATAGCAATCTAGTCACTCCCTAGCCTTTCCTCAGTCACTCACATCAGAGGCATTCCCCCTGGCCATTCTTGGTTACTCACGTGTCACAGCAGCCCACACCAACAGGATGCAGACAGGTGCAATGGAAACAGTCCTTGCGGAGCCAAGACTCACCCAAAGTGAAATATTTCCCCTCATAGTGACAGGGGGCTAGGGAAGAATGAGAAATGTTAGTAGGCATGGGAGGGGTGACAGCAGACAGTCTCTTCTKGTCTGAGGTTGGAAAGAGTCTGTTCATACTATCCCTATATTTAATCTTTCTGTCCTGTTTCACAGCTAAAAGGAATCTGAGAAATTTGATTAGCATCATCTGTAAAGCCCTCATCATCACCCCCAAGCCCATTCCTTATTTTTTGCTTTTCTCAAGTCTCAACCCACTTTACCTTGAGCTTGGAAGTAACACTTGCTGTGGACTCCTGGGTACTGCAAGAGTAGAGACATCACCAAGCAGATGATCCCCCAGCCTCCTAGGATCCCTTTGGTCTGTCCAGCCCAGAGCATCATCAGGGCCATTCTTGCAGCACTGCCCTCTTGGACCCTTCTTAGCTTCTGTTTAGGATACTCTGATCTTGTCTTTTTGGCTCTTCTTTGCTTTGCTCCTTGAGTCTTTAGTTTTGCTCTTTTTCCCTGGCCTCCTATCTCACACCATCTCCTTGCCCTCTGCTCTCACAGGCTGGGATGTTTATAAAGTGAGGACCCTGGCCTCCTGCTGAGTAGAGCTGGAACCGCTGTAACTCTGTTTCCTGAGGTGAGGGCATGAAAACAAGAGGTCCAGCTTTAACAAGCTGTGAGAGCTGATTCATGCCCCAGCACAGCTAGAAGGAGGGAGGTGGCCGTGGAAGGGGCACTGGACTGGGCAGTTCCCCAAGCAAGGAGGTGGGAGGGGTAAGAGCTCCAGGTGGTCCCAGATCTCCCTGAACTGGAGAGAGGAAACATTCCACCTTCCCCCACCCCACCCTCCACTACCACCACCAGGAGTGTGTGTGCTGGGATCCCTGCCTGAACCGGAGGGAGGTATTTCCTGGGGATGGCTAATTCTGTGCCCTCGCCAAACCAAGGAGCTGCAGCAGGGTGCAACAGCCAGAGGCTCCAGGAGAGCGAACAGGCACCTGGAGTGGAGAGTCTGTTTCCTTCAGATCCTGGGGCAGGTTTTCTTTGATGCATTCAAGAAACGGGGCTGCCCTTCAGAGATGTTGGGAGTGAGGGGTGTTTTCCTCAGGCATCCCAGAGATGAGCTATCCATAATTTATCACCCGCAAACATAAAGCAGCTGCTGTAAGACTGCCTCATGTCTGGGGATACTTCTGTTCCCCTTTCAAAGAGGAGCATTTTCTCTAGGCACCCTAATCACCTGCTTGAATCACCTGTTTTACAGAGGGGCCCCTTCTTTATTCAGGGTGGAATGAGGCTTCAGGAATTTATCTTTTGGCATTCTCCTTTGAGTTTCCTTCAGGTTCTGAAGGACTCAGATGGGTAATTGAGAACATAGGCCAAAGAGATAGGCTACTGGGATTCAGATCCTGACTTATTAGCCATGTGACTTTGGGCAAGTTACTTCATCTCTCTCAGCCTATTTCCTCATCTATAAGTCAGGGATAGTAATGCCACATCATAGAGTTGTTATGCAATAGCATAGGGAATATTCTTAGCACCGTCTGGCACATAGYTACTGTATTGGTGCTAAAGCTCACAGACAAAATGGGTGACATTCTTTACTTTGAATGGCACTGAGTAGCTCTGTGCACAGCTAAGGTCATCTGTTGAGGACTGCTCTCTCACAGCCAACTTCTTCCCTTTCATSTATATGCTCTGTGTTATCCCTACCACCTCCTTCAAACATGCATCCAGGAATATTTTGATTTGGGTCCTAATATTGAATTCCAAGTGTTTGGTTTGAAAAACAGTGTTGTTGATCAACCTGCTTTTTCCTCATATCAGTGCCCTCATATCTTGCCTGGGAAGAGGTGTTCTTTCTCATTTCTTTCTGGCTAACTTTAGAGCTTCTACTTTTTTTTCATTAGGATTCTGATCCATTTCTTTCCATCCCTACTGATGTGGCCGCTCAAGTTCTATGTTCTGATCACTCTAATGTTAGCTTTCTTTTTGTCACTAAAGGCCCTGGTCAAACTGGATTTCTTTGACTTTTCCACACTTTGAAGGCCCATGCTCCAGCTCTTCCCCTCCTACTCATGGGGCTGATCACTGTCATTGTTACCATTTTTCCTCCTAAATGTCTGCTTCCATTTACTTCAAGACTTACTCTGTCACCTGTAGGTACAAATACTTCTAGCAAACTTTTTCAGAGGACCACCCTGTCTGTCAACATCTTCTCCATTCAGAAATGACTTTCAGTGCACTTCAAACTCCCTAGCAATCCTCTTTCAAAATATTCTTTCAGAGGAGTGCCAAGAAAAGAAAGGAAAACTCACAATTGCAGCAGGGTGCCCTGAGGTAGGCTGGTGTGTGGAATACCATGGCCTTCGACTGCTCATTTGGTTGGAGCCCCGGAATTAGAAGCCCTATCTGGCACAAAGGCCCAGGAGTCTTGTCAATTGTCAGTATCTCTGCGGCTATCTTTGGTGGGGTCCAGCCAATGTCTAGGAAGCTGAGCCATAGACTACAACCTGGGGCCGACTCTATAGGTGGCAGGCGGGAGTGGAGAGCAGGAGCGCATGGAGGTGGCGGTGGTGATGCTGGAAGGTGAAGGGGCCTACTATTCATTGGTGTGTGAGGTTGTGGATACAGGAAAAGTGAGGGTTTTCGCCTGCAATGGACATGCAGTCAGTATATAGGGGCAGGAATAGGGGGCTTTTGGGAAAGAGGCTTGGTGAGCCAGGATTTCTCTCCCAGAAGTTAGAGGGGTGGGTGTGGAGGTGTTGGTTGATCCAAGTATGCATTCCTATTAGTGTGTCCATGTGTAGGGAGTGTCAGTGCTTGGGGTCCAGCCCTCTGAGTACCAGGGAAATSGCCATTTGGGGCACTAGTGGTGGGGGGCACAGCGGTTGGCACGCACTGCCAGCGCAGTAACAAGGAAAACATCCGCCGGAGGCCCAACCGGGCAGCGCTCCAGCGGAACCAGGCAGGTGCGCGGGATGAGGAAGTGAGCACATTCCGGCTCCTYGGCCACCCGCCTTTCAGTGAGTCACTGCCGACCCCCGCTGGCCTGCAGCCGGATAGGAGCCACCAACTCCCGGGCCAGGAGGGAGAGAACAGCGGCCTTTGGGGATGGTGGCACCTGGAGATTTGGGGGCCTGGACCCCAGAAGGATCATGGAAAAGCCCAGAAACTATGGGGGAGGGATATCTGTGCGGACAGTGTCCTGTTGGTACAAGGGCAAACCGCAAAGCACGCTGAGTATGTAGCTTGTGACTGAATGGAGTTTCTTGGGATGAAAGTCTCTGGGAGAACTTCCTGTACTGGGAGAGGCCCTAGAAAACTCACACAGAGAAAAGGGCCCTGGGGAAAACCTAGAGTCTTGAGGAGGTACTCAGAAAGGGAAGAGGAGCCCTAGGACTGCAGTACCAAGAAGAAACTCCAGGTTGGGCCTTGGAAAACTGAGAGACTCAGTGCAAGGAAAGATCCTCATCAGATGAAAGGTGGAACTGGCCAGTCCCCTCCAGAGACCCTGTGTGGACAGGGGAGGATAGGCAACAATTTTGATTTGGTCATTGAAGGCTTTTAGTACCAGGATGAAGAAAGCCGATTTGGCCTCCCAGATAGAAAAAACCATCATTGGTCTGTGTCAGAAAGAGGTGGCTGAAATGCAAAATTATGTGTCCAGCATTATTGCCTGCCATTCAGTTTTTGCCAAAGAAATTAAGCATTAATCTCATTTTTATAGTCATTTGAAATTGCATGAGTATATCTATCATGATTAAGTAAATTTTTTGAATTTACAAAATTTTAAATAAAATCGAAAAGTTGAAAAATGATTCAATATTTGATTTAAAACCTAAAGGCAGGTTCTTACAATTAGTTATATGGTGTTGGGCCTTTCCTTTGTTGCTTTTTTGTGACAATTTTATCTCAGTGAGAGGACTGAATTCTGTCAGTCAGTGCCTCATTTCCTCCTCATCTGTAGCATAGCACATCTGCTCCTTTTCCTCTCCTTCATCTTATCCTTTTTTGGGGGGAGGGGGCAGGGCCTTGCACTTGGTAGCAAGAGTTCTACCACTGAGCTGCATCCCCAGCTCTTTTAAAATTTTTATTGGTCTGAATAAATTGCCCAGGCTGGCCTCAAACTTGTGATCTTCCTGCCTCAGACTCCCAAGCTATGCCAACTTTATCTTTTCTTTCTTTCTTTCCTTCTACTGGGGATTGAACCCAGAGGTGCTTTACCATTGAACTGCATCCCCTGCCCTCCCCTACCCTTTTTTTTTTTTTTGAGACAGGGTGTGGCTAAGTTGCTGAACCTCCTGAATTTGCAATCGTCCTCCTGCAGCCTCCTGAATCTTTGGGTTTACAGGCCTGCATCACTGTGCCTGCCCAGTTTGTCCACCTATTTGGTTGTGCTGGGGCTTGAACCCAGGGGCTTGCCCATATGAGGCAAGCATTCTACCAACTGAGCTAAATCTGTAGCCCCTGTCCAGCTATGTTTACTTGACTTTTTTTTTCCTGCTTAACTCTTTAACCTGCCCTTATGTATCCTGAACCAAGTAAATCATTTCTTAGGGCGGGGGCATGGGTCATTGAACTCCAGTCTACAAAGACAAGTAACAATTCTGTCATGGACATTAGGTTACTTACTATCTTCTGTGGGCAGTTATGTAACTACAAAGTTTCTATGTTTACCCTGTGGCTGATAAAGAGAAAGCTAAAGCTGTTTCATTCACTGGTAGTATTTCTCAAGGTGCTTCCTCCTTTTGGTACTGGGGATTGAATGCATCGGTGCTATACCACTGAGCTACATCCCCAGACCTTTTTTGCTTTTTGAGTCAGGATCTTGCTAAATTGCCTGGACTAGAGTTGAGGTGCCTCTTGCCCCTGCTCCCCTCCCTCAAATCATTTTAAAGATCCTTAATTCTTCATTTGCTTTTGGTCCCAAACAAGAAAATCTGGGTCAGCTAGTGAAAAAAAAAAATTTTTTTTTTCTTACTTTGGATCCTGTTGCTTTCCTCCCATGCTATTTCAGCCCTAGCCCTGCCCTATTCCCAGTGGCCTTTACCTTCATTCCTTCTGTGCTCTGCTGGGCATCTTTAGAGGAAAACTTCACACCAACTTCCTCTACTATAAATTTGCTCCCTCCCTTCATCTCTACTCTTGTCTTTGCCAACATACACCACAACTTCTTCCCTACTTTTTTTTTTTTTTAAGCCCACAGCCCTTCCTGGCTCTTTTCCATCTTTAACACTCTTGTTGAAATCCTCCCCCTCCCCCCCTTTTTTTTGATGAGAACTGGGGTGTTTTTAAAGGCTAGGCTTTGGTTATTTATTCTGCATGATCCACTTCTGCCTTCCTTCCTCTTCTATCACCTTTTTTCTTATTCTGGACTGTTTTGAAACTCCATTATGCTTATTTTCACCCAAAGCCTTACACTTTTCTTTTATGATTAAAATTATTCCTCTGAATTCAGTAAAAACTATATTTTTTGTATAGTTCTCAATTCACATCTCCTTCAGTCTCTTCTCCCAAAGTTTTGCATCCAGAGATGTGACAGGTCCATTATTGTAAAGTTCATTGAGTGAAAATTTAAGATTTCTTAAAATAATAGATTTAAGATTGTTGTTGTGCTAAGCACTGTGTAGTGAATTTCATAATCCTGGTACCAAATTCCTAAATGCTTACAAACAAAAAATGCTATCACACATGTGCATGAATGTTGCCATACACTCGCACAACAGAACCAAAAGTCAACAAATAAATAATGCACACACAGGCACATACACTTACATTACAATCAAGCCAATTACATTTTGGGGTGGAAGATGAGGGTAGGTAAGCAGTTAGGATAGAAACAAAAAAACAACCTTTAATATTTTGTTTTCAGACTAGAGAAGGGTTAGAGGAAAGAGTTATCCCTGTGAAGATGGTATCTTCATAAAAGAAGCTGAGTTTCAGCAATTGGGAAGGATGACTTTAAGGCTGTGGTGAATGGAAGGAGGATGGGTGGAGGGCCAGAGTTCCAAGAACACAAGGTTGCTATACCCAGACAGCCTGGTATTCTGACAGAATATAAAAGATTTTCTCACTGTGATACTGATTGCAACCATAGTTAACTTTCTACTAATAATCTATTTTGAAATTTGCCTATCTCTATACCATTGGAGTCATTCTTTTTTTAAAAAAAATATTTATTTATTTTTTCAGTTGTAGTTGGACACAATATCTTTATTTTATTTATTTATGTGGTGCTGAGGATTGAACCCAGGGCCTCACATATGCTAGGCGAGCACTCTACCAATGAGCCCCTGGAGTCATTCTTTTTTTTTTTAAAAAAATTTATTATTATTATTTTTTAGTTGTAGATGGACACAACATCTTTCTTTCTTTATTTTTAAGTGGTGCTGAGGATCAAACCCAGGGTCTCACACAGCTAGGCCAGTGCTCTACCACTGAGCCACAATCCCAGCCCTTCCTGGAGTCATTCTTAACCAAAATTTTCTTTATTATTTTTTCTACTTACAAATTTCTATATTCATGATAGCCCCCCCACCAATTAACCCCTAGTTAACTACTATTAATTTTCACCAAATTACCTATTTACCTATATGCTTTGATTTTTCCTGCCTGCTCCACAATCTACTTATGGTAGTAGTGGCTTAAAATTCCACTTGTGACTCTTGCCTTTATCTCATTTGTAAATTACTGATTTATTAAAATAATAGATTTAAAACTTGATACTTTGAAGGATTCTAGTTTTTAATTTTTAAAATTTTTTTGTTTGTGTGTTGTTTTTTTACCCAAAACAGAATTTACAATTCTACTTATCTTTAATAAGCTCTTTGCCCAGCTGTCTCTATTGAATGGATTGCTTCTTCCTGAGGTAGAGCTGCCTGTTCTACCATTATCAAGTTTAGTAACTAGAGAGTAGTGAAGCTGAAACATATCTTGCTTATCTACTCCTTTTCCCTTCTTAATTCTAYTCTTTGGAACAATATGGGAGACATCAGTTTTCAATATGGCAGCTTTTTAAAGATTTGAAAAGCTTGGGGTTTCTTTTTGTTAGCTATTTGTCTAAGCTTTCTCTTTACTTCAACATTGTCCAATGGAACTTTCTGCCAAGGTGGAAATGCTCTCTCCCTGAACTTTCTATTCTGTAGCCATTAGCCACATGTGACTCTTAAACATTTGTAATGTGCCTAGTGAGACTGAGGAACTGAATTTTAAATTTTTATTTAATTTTAATTTAGCTAGCCYGATGAGGCCAGTGGCTTCTGTGTTAGTACAGCTCTGACTCTCTGGGAGTTAGTATTTGTCACACAGTTCTCTTCTTGGCCGCTTCATAAATCTTATAAAGCATGGTAAAAATGTGTAACTTGCTCTTGAAGTCACTGTCTTCTGAGGCCATCTCACATTATGCAACTGAGAAATAGCTCAAACTCAACTCCCAAAGCCCTGATGAATAATGTCGAATTTACCAAAGTTTTCTTAGAAGGGCAAGAAAGTAAGGTTGTAGCTCACATCCCATACCCCAAAAGAAGAACTTAAAAATGTCTTCATTGATTATCTGTCTTTTCCTAGAGTCCCATTCCCTAGTGGCTCCTATACTGGCTACCAAATCACCTCTCTCTTCTCTCCTTCTCTTCTTTATCAAAAGAAATTCTTCTTCTCATTGAGCTTTGCCTGTCCATTTTCTTTAAGCCCACCATTTGCCCTCTTCCCTTCTGAGGAGAGTTTTTAGGAGTGCTTTTTAAATTTTGGGGGTGGTTACTGGGGATTGAACCCAAAGCCTCATGCACGTAAGGCAGACACTCTACCACAGAGCTCTACCCCAGCCCTCGGCTGTGCTTTTGCTTTTCTATCCTGTCTGCTRTAAAACCAACAGGCATTTTCTGGACCCACTTTCTTGGGGGGTGGGTAACTAGGGGAAGAAGGCGATAAGTACATATATATTTTTCCTCTTATACATAATTCCTGAATTCCTTCCAGTAGTCCTCTCATCTTTGTTGGACATTCTTAAGCATTGTTTTACAGAAGAATCTTTATTGTCTTTTTTTTTTTATTTTTTTGGTGGTGGGGTGTGTGGGTATCAGGGATTAAACCTAAGGGCATTTAGCCACTGAGCCACCTCCCCAGCTAATTTTTTTTTAAATTACATATTAAATTTTTGAGACAGGGCTTTCTCTTTACTAAATTACTCAGGGCCTTGCCAAGTTGCTGAGGCTGGCTTTGAACTTGTGATCCTCCTGCCTCAGCTTCCTGAGCTGCTGAAATTATAGGTGTGTACCATAATGCCGGCTAATGTCATTTTGTCATTCTATATCTACAGTTGAATATATCCTAAAGCTACTTTTATAGATAGTTCCTTTGTCTATTTTCCTTTCGTTTTTGCTCTTAACTTTTCCTTCTATGTTATTTTTAATAGGTTTATCATTTTTACTGGTCCAGACATAAATATGCCACATCCACTGAGGGAGCAGCATTTATTTTTCTGCTGCTGGTCATTCAATATCTCATCCTCCTTTGGTTAACTTTTTGACTCATCATTGTTGTCCATACTTACTTCCCTTTATTGTCTGTTGTTCTCATCTCTTCCAATCCATCTCTGAATAAAATTCACTTTTTTATTTTGGGGGTGGGTGGGTACTGGAGATTGAATCCAGGGACACTTTATCACTGAGCTATATCCCTAACCCTTTTTACTTTTCTGTTTTGAGACAAAGTCTTGCTAAGTTGCTGAGGCTGGCTCTAACATGTGATCCTCCTGCCTCAGTCTCCTGAGTCACTGGGTTTTCAGGCATGTGCCACTTTGCTGGGCAAAAATCACTATTAAAGATAGATAATTTTTGAGATCTCAAAAATATTTTGAGGGATCTTACATAAGTCTTTGTACTGGGATCTAATTTTGTATACGTAGCATTGATTTC